CCTGCCTGAATCTGAGTAGGACTGCCAACTTTTAAAACAAGTTGATTTTCATATTACATTCATTTCTTTTGGTGCAAACTGGTAATGAGAAGACAACAGTTAAACTTTATAATAAAAGTAACAGCAAAACTGTCATTTTAGCCCATTACTTACAATCTGACTTCTAAAGGGCATCTTAGAGAAAGAAATATGAAATAACTACTTAGAGAAATATGAAATAAATCATTTACTCTTTTAACCATACAATCAAATTTCAGTTTTCTACCATATTACAGCTTACTGCCATGGCTGAAAAGCAGACAGATCTAAAATAAAACCTCCAAAATAGTAACAAGTAATAACAATAATAAATAACTAATTTAAACAGAAAGTGAAATAAGTATCAGTTGTGATTGCTGTGTTTGAAGGTTAATATACTACCCCCTCCTCGCCAAAAGAAAAAAAGCCTAAGTAAATATAACACCTCCCAGATCTGAATATGAGTTTGGCAAGAGTACATTCTGACGAATCAGGTTTGGCTCAGTGGAGAGAACGTCAGTCTGTGGACTCAAGGGTCCCAGGTTCAATTCCGATCAAGGGCATATACCTTGGTTGTGGGCACATCCCTGATGGGGATTGTGCAGGAGGCAGCAGGTCAATGTTTCTCTCTCATCGATGTTTCTGGCTTTCTATCCCTCTCCCTTCCTCCCTGTGAAAAATCAATGAAATATGTATTTTTTTTTAAAAGTACACTCTGACAAAAGGCATGAAGTAGAATTATTAGGTGTGAATTAGGAACATGGCTGCGGTGAGGCAGATGGATTACTGGAGCAGTATTTCCATAACACTGAAGTACTTGAGGATTTGTGTGTGTGTGTGTGTGTGTGTGTGTGTGTGTGTGTGTGTGTGTGTATGTAATATTTACAAATATAACACATTTTATCGATCTATATTTAGTTCATTAGTAAATTGTGAAGGTGGTGGTCAAATGACTGACGCTGAGTAAATGTACTGGAGAGTAGAAGAGGTGGAAAGAGTGCCCAGTGCTCAGATATCGCATGGCCTATCATGTGTCTTCATAATTGAAGATCATTATCTCTATATGCAAATCAACACAATTATGCATGTGCCTCCTGGCTTTTTGGTAGTTAAAATCTACACCTGTCACTCCCGCTCAATTTAGCATGGCCAACTGGTGTGGGTTTGGAGGAGGATACATGGAAAAGTCAGGATGTTTCCGCAGCTCTACTTGAGGCTGTACCTCCTTCGTAGTTTCAGCTAATGCTGGAAAACTCCCCCTGCCCCACCTCCAAACCACCTAGCCCTTTGCCCTTGCAATCCTAGAAACGGTGGCTGATTCCATTAATGTGATTCATCTCTTGGGTGCTTCATCATGCTGTTTAATTCTCCTAAACCTTCCAACCCACCACACTTTCTTGACTATAACTTCCCTGTATGAAATCCCTCATATTCAGCTATCTGGCACCAGCGCAGTTTTCCTGGTGGCCCTGGAAGATACAACTCTTATCCTCCGGCTACAGAGAACTCCAGCCTGTCAAACACTAACCCTTCAATAAAAAGGGGCAATTCAGAGGTACTTTAATATTGTCTAAATAGTTAGAAATATAAATGATGACACTAATGAGGGAATATGAGAGGATCAACCTCATATCCCTTAAGGGAGGGAGAATTAATACAATATTATCAGGAAAGCAACTTGGTTACAGTTATTAAGAGCCTTGAAGAATTACCATATACATCAGATAATTTTTTTCTTAAAAACCTAGCTTAAGCCCTAACCAGTTTGGCTCAGTGGATAGAGTCGGCCTGCAGTTTGAAGGGTCCCAGGTTCAATTCTGGTCAAGGACATGTACCTTGGTTGTGGGCACATCACCAGTAGGGCTTGTGCAGGAGGCAGCTAATCGATGTTTCTCTCTCATCGATGTTTCTAACTCTCTATACCTCTCCTTTCCTCTCTGTAAACAATCAATAAAATATATTTAAAAAAATATAACTTAAGGTAAATCAAATATGCAGATATAATTTTATATGCAGAGATGTTTACCACAATGTTATGAGAATGAAAATGAGAAACCTGAAGATAGTGTATATATACTTAATAGTTTTTCTTTAAAGTATCCTCCCAGCCGCAAATTGTAGGTGTACACAGTATATATGTTCACTGAAGAGGTCAAGGATACTTGATTTAAACATGGACACTCGGTGCAATACAGCTATTAAAGGCTCTCAAGAAACAGTTCTGGAATAAATTAATGATGCAATATTAAAGATGAACTAACACAAGAAATTTGTATTAAATGGTAGTTCTGCCAAAGCCAATTAACAAATGCAGTATGGTGTGCCTAGCATTTTCTTTAAACTAATTTTTTCAAGTCACGTTTTAACAGTTCATAGATCTGCTATTTCTACTGAAGAATGTTGGTTAGGTGACTTTCTGCTCAAAAGAATTCCAGTGGCTCCCCCGAAACCTGCAAGAGGAGAATTCAACATCCCTGATATTTGCAAATATCTAATTTGACCCATTGTGGCTGTCTATTCTTTGCACATCGTATCATCTCCCAAATCAGTTTTAAAGGTTCCCATGTGACACTTCTACTGCCTAATGACAACGCTCTCTCTACGTCAGGCCCTGAGTTCCAGGCCCATCTTGTCTGCAAAACTCTCTCAGAAGCAGGTTGTACATTTAAATGTCTAGTAATAATTAATGTCGTTTTAAACATTCGTTTAAAATCTTGCTTGGCGTTGACTTGTATTGACATAACCTTCAAACACGTGGTATCTACAGAACGTGTGAAGTGCAATTAACAAGTTTTGCTTGAAAAAGTTTGTGGTTTGGTTTTTGTTGCAAAACTAGGGCTAAGAAGATGGCGGATGAAGAGCATATTCGGCACTGCATGCTTTACGAATTCCAATTAGGAAGAAAAGCAAGTGAGGCTGCAAAAAACATCTGTAGTGCTCTTGGTCAAGATGCAGTTAGCGCCAGAAAATGCCAGCGTTGGTTTGAGAAATTTCGCGAGGGAAATTTTTCGTTAGATGACAAGAGTGGTCGAGGCCGTGTGTCCAATTTTGATCAAGAAGCTCTTCCAGCTCTTTTGGTGCAAAATCCTCAAATTACCAAACAAGAGCTTGCGACAACTTTAAATTGTTCACAAAAAACAATTTCCAATCAATTGCGTGCACTTGGCAAAATCCAAAAGTTTGGAAAATGGGTTCCTCATGAGTTGACCGACAACAACCGTAATCAAAGAGTCACAATTTGCAGTTCGCTCCTCTCTCGTCAAAACCGTTTGCCGTTTTTAGAGCAAATTGTTACCGGAGATGAAAAATGGGTGCTGTATGTTAATTTGAAAAGGCGGCCTCAATGGTTGGACAAAAATGAGGCTCCGCAGCCCACGCCAAAACCTGACTTGCATGCGAAAAAAGTGATGTTGTGTGTTTGGGGGAATTTTAAAGGAATTCTTCATTATGAACTTTTACCATCTAACCAAACCATTACAAGTGCAGTGTAGAGTGCCCAATTGGAAAGGTTAGCCCAAGCTTTAAGAGAAAAAGAACCCGCGCTGATTAATCGGAAGGGCGTAATTCTTCATCACGATAACGCAAGACCGCATACTGCAAGAATCACTGCTGAAAAACTGCGCCAGTTGGAATGGGAAGTTCTCCCTCAACCTGCATATTCTCCTGATATTGCCCCTTTGGATTACCATTTGTTTCGTTCTTTGCAAAACTTTCTTCTTGGAAAAAAATTTAATAATGAAGAATGCCTCAAAAATGCATTGACCGAATTTTTTGCATCAAAATCACAAGAATTTTACAACAGAGGAATTAAAATGCTTCCTGAGCGTTGGGCACAAGTAGTAGAAAACAACGGCAACTATATTGTTGATTAAATTTTGTTGTATTGTTTAAATAAATTCGATTTAAAAAAAGGTATTAGAAAACGACATTAATTATTACTAGACCTAATATAACTATGTTTCCCACAGGATACTTATTTGGCAATTAACCACACATCATTTCATGGCATGCCCCGTGTTAAACTGCTCTTTGTAAATCTCAGTAACTTTTCACATGACTCTGCCTACTCGAGGGCTTGAGTAAACATGACAGTTATTGGGAATAGCTACTTGATAAACAGCAGAGTGCCCTGTATGCACTATAAGTAACACAAGACCAGGGTCAGGCAAATAAAGATACCAGCATTTGGTGATCTGAGTCTTATGCAATTCAAGCCTTGTTTAAAAACTGTCAAAGTATTTACATATCAAAGCTGATTCTAGAATGTATACATAGTTGGCAACATCCTTTACATTATAAGCTCCTGGCAGGTGAGGAGGAATATGTGTGTTGTGCCCATCTCTGTCTGACCAGCAATGTGTACAGTACTGGGTCCATGATGTGGCTGCTCAATAAACATTCAATGAATGAAGGCTAAGACATCAAATATTTCTGGAAGTGGTAGATGCTCTCTCTTCCTTTAGGTGACGTGAATTTAGGGTAAAAATGAAAAATAAAAAAAGCTTCCAGACTATATAAGATGCTACTAGATATTCTACATAAAGAAAATGACCATTTCAAGTAACTCTTCTGAGTATGAGAAACACTGTGAAAGAAAAAAACACTGACTTATACAAATAGTTAGCCAACTTTCCCAAATTATATAATAACTTTTGTGAGGGAATCTTCTGTGTTTCTTTATGATATAAAGTTTTAGGTTATTGGATTGATATTAAGTGTTGATGTCCAATGCCATAACTTTACTTCTTTACCTTTGACATATTCAAATCTATTCAATTATTTATTAAAAAATTAAGCATATTAAAAATTACTCTTTCAAAGAAAAATAGCTCTATATTGTTACAATTAAAGGATTTGCTTGCTTGGCTTTTTTAATAAGAGGTGGTAAATCAGAAAGCATGCTATGAAACTACTTATGAATGTGTGTGTGTGTGTATCCTCAAAAACATAATAAATATTTTTTATATGATAAAAACTCATACCTGTTGATCTCCAAGGAAACGACTTTTCAGTTGAGCTAGAGAAAAAGAAGGGGAAAAGAAACATTTACTTCCTTTGTCATGAAATTTAACTGTGGACCCATTTTGCATATACACATTTAAGTTTCACATTTAATTACACAAAGCATAAAAATCTGAAACAAAATTTAAAATTACTCTGCCAACTAAGGTAAATATTTAACCTTTTCCATTAATTTGAGAAAAAAATTATATGTCTACTTGGAAAGTAAGGCAAATAAAGCGACATAAGGTTCTCCTTGGATAAGACAAACTAGCAAAAGCACATGCGGTAATCATGGTATTTACTATGTTGCTTTTTGTGATAATATGCAAATTACACATATATTAAGAAGAACAAAAAATTTATTTTCCAAAAAAGCCCTAGATACAACAGACACAAAAGTTAATGGGGTCAGTTTGAATTGAATGTTCACCTATGAAATTTAAATCATAAAACTTCATATAAAAAAATATAAGGTTTTGCAAGCCAGGAAAAAATTTTAACTATATATTTTTCTTGGTTTATAACCATTTAAAAACATATCTGAGCCCCTCTGCTCCCCCAACCCATAGCATCAATACAGGAAAGCATGGTAAGAAGGGGACAGTGTGGTAGGAACAAGAGGCTGGATTATTAAGCATTTACTAAATGCTTGATTACTAGTACTTCACATATATTGTCTACTTTATACTACTCAGAACAACCTTATGGATAGGTAGATTACCTGTGTTTTACAGATAAAGTAACTGGACAAAGACTTATGTTATATAAAAGCTGGGATTCAGACCCAGGATGGTCTGATCCCTAAGTCAGGGCTTCTCATCACTGTGCTGTATGATAAAACAGTTTGTGGCCCCATTTTTGCATTAGCACATATATACATACTTACATACATACATACATACATGCACACATACATATAGTATGCCTAGAAAGAAGTCTAGAAAAGTACAAACCAAAGTAGTGAGCAGTTATCTCTGTAGAGCACAATTATAAGAATTTTTCTTTTAAACATTTGCACTTTTTTAGAAATCAGAATAAAATACATATTGAAATATTTTTGTGGCATTGTTTAAATTTAAGGAAAAGGTGTGTGACTTTGGGCTTAAGGAAACACTATAAAATAAAGGACTTGAAACAGAGGAAGAGAACAATTCTTTCAATGCAATAGTTCTAAGATTTTAATTTATTTTAACCTTGACTACCCTTCCCATGTCACTAAGTGCTTACTAGAACTCTTGCAGGTTAAAAACCGAAGATGGAGTAAGAACTCCCTGAACTTCAATTCTGTGAGTAATTTGCCTTTTCTACACCAGAGGCACAGCAGGCCACATCCCAGGACCTTGAAATTAGCTGCAAGCAGGGAGCATGCTCCCAAAGAATGGAGTCAATCAGTTAATGCTAATCTTAGCACTTCAGTGATATCCCTTATCTGATGCACTCCTGAATTCCAAAGGACTGATGAGATGGAAAAAGGTGAAAATTTGGTCAAATACCAGCAAGAACACATTTGTCCTGCTCCTGAGGTACTTTATCTTTGATTCTAACAATGGCTCCCTACACCCAATTTCAACTTCTCTGGAATCTTTGTCTTTTAGTTCTATTACTTAAATTCGTTTTCTAAGCACTGAGGTTGGTATTTATTCAACTGTATTCCCATCAAGATGTTCACATTTCTTGCCAATACTAAAATATAAGAAGAATCAAACTGCCACCCAGAAATGATTAATATGTTAAGTTTCTTGGAAATATCATAGAAGTCAACTATCTTCTGAGTTTAAAACTTACATAAACTTCAATGAAACACTTTTGCAGGATTGTTTATTCTCGAAATTATAGATCATAGGATATCATTCATGGTAATTGATCCAACTGGGCAAGGGCTATTGCTCATGTCCTTGTGCTGTGTATCTAGTATACTGCAGGTGCTTGTTATATATTGTTTTTGTAACACAAATTGTAAAAAAGTAATACCGAGTACTTCATTATTAGAAAGATCAGGTATAAAAAAATCAGTTATTACTTTGCTTAAGAAAGTCACCTTGTTCTCCTCTACGAAGGCAGGACATTCCAGGAGCCTCATTGTGTTACAAGCAGGCAAACTGCATTTTTCTGCTGAAGGGCCTCTTTCGTCACCAGTACAATGAGGCATTCCTCAGTGAAGGCAACAGAAAGCCTCAGTTCATATTATCTTCCCCTACTCTAAGTTAGATAACAATCATTAGAAAACTAAGATAATATTATAATTAAAAATAAGCAAAAAGTGCCGTGGTATATTCTGATGATACACGAGGTGTATAAAAGTAAGTTTAGTTGTTCGTATGGAAAATAAAACAATATGGGCACTGTGCCCACAATGACTCCATCCATTCCCTTCATTTCTCATCTTGTATTAATAAACACAAGAATAAACTCTGTTTTATGTAATCACAACTGTAAACCTTCTTTTGCCGACCCCTTATATTCAGCCCAATTGTCTTCACACTAACCCTACAGTTCTGTTAAAACTGGTCATCGTCCTAGCCAGTTTGGTTCAGTGAATAGAGCATTGGCCTAAGTGGATAGAGAAGTGGGCCAAAAGGTCTTGGGTTTGAGTTCGATTCCAGTCAAGGGCACATACCTCAGTTGCAGATTCTTCCTGGCCCTGGCTGTGGTCAGGGCTCATGCAAGAGGCAACCAACTGATGTGTCTCTCTCACATCAATATTTTTCTCTGTCTTTCCCTCTCCCACTCTAAAAATCAATGGAAAAGTACCCTCAAGTGAGGATTTTAAAAAAGTAAAAATAAAACTAGTCATTATATTTATTATTCAGAACAAACTATTTCCTTTTGAATCACTCACTTCAAATGATTCTCAATTGTTCACAATTCTGGAATTCAGAGCTCAGACGAAAAATACGTGCAATTTTGAAATGTTAACTCATGGAATATAACTTGCTTTTAAAAAGTTTTGAATTTTTTAAAAAATTGAATTTATTGAGGTGATTTTGATCCATGAAACCATGCAAGTTTGAAGTGTACAACTCAACAAAACATCATCTGCACACTGTACTGTGTGCCTATCACCCCAAGCAAAGTCACTTTCCATTCTCATTTTCCCCTTTGCCCACCTCCACCTACTCCCACACTCACCTTTCCTTCTAGCTATCACCACACTGTTTCTGTGATATCTATCTATCTATCTATCTATCTATCTATCTATCTATCTATCTATCAATCATCTATCTAGATTACATAGATAGATAGAAACCAAACAAAATATTATCTATCTATCTATCTATCTATCTATCTATCTATCTATCTATGTAATATAGATAGATAGATAATATTTTGTTTGGTTTCTGATTAGTCCCTCTGAAACATTAAATCACTGAATATAACATGCTTTTATTAGAATAATTAGGGGCAACTCCCTGTTAAAGTCTTCTTCCCTATCACCCTCTATCCATTTATTCCTAGAAATACTCCTCATCTTTTATTCAATGTCTACAATGTGTCTAGGGACACTGTGCCCACAACGACTCCATCCCATTCCTTCGTTTCTCATCTGAAGATGCCAAGTAGCTTGTATTCAGGAGCTTCCAGTGCAATGTGAAACACATTTTCAAATACAAAAACTGAATCATACATAATAACTTAGTTTCAGTGGGAAGATGTATTCACATTTTCCAAAAACTTAATTATCAACAACCTTCTAGAATGAAATCCATTCATAAATGAAGTTGGGTACTGTCTAGTCAGTGAACAGCAATTAAAAGCAAGCTAATTAGCAAATTAATAAATCAAGGCTACTCATTTTAATATAAACAATGTTTTTAGGAAGATGCATGTATTTACAGCATTACATGAAAATATGTAGTAAACCAAGGGAATTAAAATATCTGATGAACAATATTAACTGGTGAATATAATAGAATTAGAGGTATGGAAGGGGAGTGGACTGATGATTCTCAGGGAAAAAGGGAGTGGGGGTGCGGGAAGAGACTGAACAAAAACTGTGCACCTATGGATGAGGACAATGGGGGATGGGGAAAGGACAGAGTGTGGGGTGGGAACCTGGTGGAGGGGAGCAATTGCGAGGGAGGGGGGGAAGAGGAACACATTTGTAATAATCTAAACAATAAAGATTTTTTTTAAAAAGAAAATATGTAGTAAAGCCTTTTCAAAATTTAGTTATTGACTACCACAATCAATCACAATAGCAACAAAAATAAAAGCTCTTCCTCCAAATTCACAATCATCCCAGGACCAAGGCTCCTCTCTATGTTCTCTTTATCATGGAATCAGACCCTGGACAATTCTCTATTAGATGAAGACTGGTTTCCTTCATCCTAAGAAAAGACCACTTGATCTCAGCAATCAGGAAAAGTGAAACCATGACATGACAACATGCTCATAATTGAAGTTTAATATTTCTATGTGTTATGATTTAAAATTGTCCTGAAAATTGTACACAATATGTCCACAATTTGAAGTAAGCAAAACATTATAAATAGGAGGGCAAAGATATTCCCCCCCGCCCCCATATTTATTAACTAGAGGCCCAAGGCATGAAATTCGTGCACTGGTAGGGTCCCTAGCAGCTGCCAGCTGCTGGCCAGGTACTCCCTCTCTTCCCCAGGCCACATGCCACAGCCAGCAGGGGCCTCCCTCCCTTCCCCCAGCCAGCCCCACCCCCTAGTCGAACTCCCAGAAGAACTCCTGGTGGAGGGGACAATTTGTATACTACGCTTTTATTATATAGGATGGTGAAAGGCAAGGGCACCTAAATTAAAAATAATGTCTTTCAATAGGATGTAGCTGCTCCTGACCCACCAGCAGCAGAACAAGAGCCTAAGGTTCCTTTTAACAGTGGTGATGAATGTGTGACAATCCAGCTGTACCCTAAACCAAATCACTTGTGCGGCCAACAGAAGGAACAAACAAAGCAGCTATAGGGAGATAAGCCTGATACTGCACGGAACACAGGAAAGATCAAAGGCTAACAGTTTGAACTATATATTCCCTCTCAATGAC